CATGTTGGAGTTGGTGCTGGCTCCATTAGGCCTGGTTCCATGGCTGATCGAGCCAGGCTAGCCAAGATTCCACAGCCGGAAGTTGCCTTGAAGTGTCCAAGATGTGAGTCCACCAACACCAAGTTTTGCTACTTCAATAACTATAGCCTCTCACAGCCGCGCCACTTTTGCAAGACATGTCGGCGGTATTGGACTAGAGGGGGTGCCCTTAGGAATGTTCCAGTCGGCGGAGGATGCAGAAGAAACAAGAAAAATAAAAGCAGTAGCTCAAAATCCTCAGCTTCTGCGGAGAAGCAAGTTGGTAATTCAAATTCAACAAGTGCTGGTAATATTCCTTCTGAAATTTCTGGCCATTTGCCACGGCAGACACCTCATTTACCCTTCATGGCTTCTTTACAAAATTTTTCTCAGTATGGTTTGGGAAATATTGGCTTAAACTTTGGTGGAATTCAAGGGCAGATAGGGGCGACAAGTACTGGTGCTAGTGGGCAAGCTGATATGGGGTTTCAGATAGGAACTAACTCAGGCATGAGCAGTGCTATTTTTTCAGCAGAAGGAACTCATCATCAGCAGTTTCCTTTCTTTGAGCCAGCTAATGGTTTATATCCATTTCAAAGTGAGGGTATGGAAGCATCATCTTCCATGGTCGGAGAAAGCCAGCTTCTTCGTTCCATGAGTTCGAGCTCTAGGGCTTCTCAGACAGCTCCAGTGAAAATGGAAAATAACCAAGGGCTAAATCTATCAAGACAACTGTTGGGTGTTTCGGAGAATAATCAGTACTGGGGAGGAAATAATTGGACAGATAATTTATCAGGTCTCAACTCTTCTAATACTAATCACCTCTTATAGCTAAGTTTCAAATCTTTCTTGATAGACAGCAGCTTAAAGCTGATCTTGAAGCTTCAGGTTCTTCCAGTACTTATCACAACAGCGTTAATGAGAGATAGTTGACATAAAGTCGCATGTTCCTTTGATCACCTTGACTAGCTCACAGAAGCTCCAACATCAGAAATTAAATAATGGATGGTGAAATTCCACGGTTCAGTGAGGAACTTGTCTCTTCATCATCATCATCATCATCATCTATGGAAGAAAAAAAGATTGGTAGAATTAATGTTGTTTCATATATATTTTGGGTTTTTGATCTTAAGCTATGTCTTTGGTTTTTGTTTGCATGGGCTTGTTTCCAGATTTGTCTATGTTTGTGTGTGAAGTTATGGGATCTGTTATCTGACATGATAAACTAATTTCTCTGTGAAATTATCCTTTATGGTAACTTCTTTCTCATGTCGGTTTTCTTCTTTGCATTACTGTTAGTACAACGTTGCATCACTAAGAAGAAACATAGAGTCCTTTCTGCAATTCATCAAATCACCCACATTTCGATAAAATGTTCATTGGAAGAATAAGCAAGAAAATATTCTTCCAGAGAGCACTTAGGACTGCCATCCATGTCCTGTGCGAAAAAAGGTTGAGATTCACACTGTTGTGTAAGTTGCATAAAATCATGTTAAATTTTGGTGCATATGTGTTTTTCCTGGCTTTTTTTTAAGGAAACTTCTTGCAACTCTAGCTGAACAAAAAGTTGGTGAACTCATCTGCGATCTTGGCTTCTCAGCCAAAGGAAAACCACAAGTGAAATCTCACTTGACACAATATATTCTATAACATGCACCAGTAGATCCCCATATATTTCTCTCTCCCAGTCATGATATTTATATCCACCATGATTGTGAAGTTGAGAAGCTTATTTCACTCTGCACCAGTCCACGATAATCTCCTTCCATGCTGCCTCGAGCATGTTTATAAACTTGAAATCGATGTCTCATGCTGCATCTGGAACTTGTTGATTGTTGGATATTGATTCCATTGCCCATGTTTTTCAAATTCTTGTACGTCGGAAAGCTTGAAATAAAGCTCGTATTAGGTGAGTTTTTATCAAACGTTAGTTCTTGTGAGTCTTTATCCTCCTCAAATTAAGAAATCCGTTCACCAAGCCATGCATCTAAGTTTGTGCACGACGGAGCTGGGAGAGAATTTCCTTATCTTTTTGTATATAACAGATTTCATGATTTTGTAATTATAAGAATCATGTGGGATATACATATGGCCATGGCTTAATTTCGTTGGCCTGTGGAAGTTAGAGTTTCAAGTTAAAGACAAAGGGAATCCAAAGAAAACGCCAAAGATCCCACTCAAAACCATGCAATTCCATTTTCAACCAAAGTTCCAACCAAAGTGTGTGAAGTACTCTAGAATTTTTAAAGAAAGAATAATGTTGTTAAGTTCTTTTAAACTAAGGTGGTCAAAAGAAGGTGAAAACCTTTTGAAACATACATCTGTTTTTGCTCTGTCTCTCAATTTTCTTTTCTGTGTGGTGACCTTCAAATGTGATTCCAGAAAACGAAAGATCAGATTTAATAAAAGGAATTAAAGGTGCAAAATCTTCCAACTAATAATCACACGGTAGAAGATAAAATAATATTAAAAACCCAACTGGGGTTGATTTTGTCTTAACAGGAAGAAAAGAAAAAGGAATCAAGAGGGGGGGGGGGGGGGGGGTGTATTTGCTTTTTTGCAAGGACCAAGGCTACTGCCTTGCAGCAACGAATAAAGCAAAATCCTCTCTTCATGATAGTCAGTTGGGCACAGAACCTAGAAAGTGAAAAAACAGTTAGTAAAATTTGGGGTGATGACGAAAATGTGGAACCATTTGGGTGGGGAATTGGAAAGCGAAGAGAGTGAGAAACTGAGAGAAAAGGAAAGGGAGAGAGAGAGAGAGAGTTTGGTGGGGATTTGTGGTACGAAGAATAGCACCGAAAAGAGAAGGAGAGGGGCGCAGAATTCCAAGCTTAGATGTTCTGTTGGAGTATCAGTTTATGTTTTTTGATGACCAACTTGGATAGGCGTGAAAATGTTCTCCTCAGTCTTCTCTATATCCATCTATATCACCCAGCTTTAGCTTTTTCGACTCTTCGTTGCTATCCTGAACTCTCTATCTCTGTAGAATCCTCAACATTTATGGCATGCAGGAATGAAAGCGTGAGTTCGGCCTATTCAAATTTGGCATCTGGAAGTGGAAGCAAGGCCCAAGCTTTTGTATTTGATGGTGACTCAAGCCTTATCCTGGCTTTGCATTTCGAGTTTTACTTCTTGGGTGTGTCTGCTGGGTTGGCTGTGGTGCCCTTCCATATTCAACCACAGCAGCCACGAAGAGAAATAGGGCTTGATAATGAGAGCAGGTGGGGAGAGGAAGGAATGAATTAGTAGAACACAAAACAGAAAAAGAAAGTGAAATTTTTTTCAATGAAAAATTGAGGTAAAAATGTCAAATGCAGAATTACAAAGTACAGAACATGTTTAATTAGGTTGAGGAATGACAGAAAGAACATCAACCCACTTTCACATTAGGGTTCAGGGTAGAATGTTATTAGGGTTTAAGGCAGTGTGAACTGATTTTTATGAACTCTTGCCTGCTGCCACAGGTTATTCAACCTGTTGAGTTTGGAAGAATGGTCATTTCATTTTCTTCTATTGTATTATTTAGTTCATGAAATAGCTATTTAAGAAAAGTAGGAATAATTATATATTATCGATTCTCTTGATATTAGTTAGAGCATGTGGGGTTATTTTTTGATAAATTTAATGAATAATTAAACAAAAAACTCACAAAGAGTAACAAAAATAAATTGTATTCAAAGTAATTTTTAATAAAAAAAAGATTATTCAAACTTCTAACTATTAGAATGAAATGAGATTTTCGATATGATAATGGATTATAATTTTTTTATAATAATCTAATTAAAATTCAATATTTATAAATATTAAAAATTTTCAAAAATCAAATTGACAACCTTCCTAACATTCAGCGACAAATAAATCGTCTTGACTGTCATTAATATTAAATTTTATTTTATTTTATTCACGATTAATCTGTTTATTTAATTTTAAATTAAATTAATAAAAGTAATTTAATTTAATCTTTTTTTAGAAAAAATTATTACAGCTACTGTATCAAATATGGATTTGTTAGTTAGATGTCATATTAGATGATTAAAAGAATTTCTTGAAAAGAAAACCCACGAAACAGGGTTAACTATCTGTCATGAAACAGCCGAATAAGAGTGGTCCATCCTTTTTTTTTTCTCTTTCTTCTGTTTAAATACTTCGATGGCGTGGTCCACTCATCTTGGCAAAAGGCTATCTCCGCCGGCCCATGTGTAAAAGGTTAGGCCCTCTCACGAAGAGCGAGGCAAAAGTTGTTTTCAACGCAGGAACCAGCAGCAGCAGGAGCGTCGTCCACCACCAAAATGAGCTGGCTCAGATCCTTTCCCCAGACCCGCCAAAACCGCCCAAAATCTAAAGATTTTAGTCCGACTCTGACCATGCTTGCCACGTCACGAATTGAGTTCCCCGGCTGTGGCGATCACTAATCAGTTTAATTAAGCAATTTGAAAGCTTATACGCATAAGAATGGTAAGTGGAAGTATTTCAATAAAAAATTAACACTTATTATTTGAATACGAATTTGATTGAAATAAATTTAAAATAAATTTTTATGTATTTTATTGACCGAAATTAAGTTAATAAATTAAGATTATTTCATCAAAAAGAAATAAAGTTTAAAATTCAATTTAGAATAATAATGAATTTTAATAAATATTACATTAATTATAACTAATTCATAAATAATAAAAAAATATAAAATTAAAATTTAATATAAAATAATTATTTATAATCAAATTTGAATAAAAAGTATCTTAAAATCCCTACCCCAACACTATCCCAAATCTGATTAAAAGATATCTTAATACTATATAATTGGGTCAAGTACTGTAAATTATATATAGACTTTCCTTGTTTTCGATTTAACTTAATGAATGTTGTAAATGAGTTTTAATCTAACAAGGTGCTAAGAGAATAGCGGCTTGGAGCAAAGTGAGTTAGCATTGTAGAAAAGAGAGAATGCAGAATGAAGTTCGAGTGGACAAAGGTTGCACTTGAGCAAGCAGATGAATCATTTTATTTTTTGGTTACATATGACTAGTGACTTTGGAAACAAAGTTCAAGTGAATACAAGAAACATCTCTCCAATAAAAAACTGAGGATGATTACAGTCGGACATATGTTATAATGGTACAATTCACATACATGTCGAGTACTACTCAGCCCTTTTCTTTTTCTTTTTTTTTTGGTGTTTTTCCGGCACTTTGATGGTTCTGTGAATAATATATTTCTCCACACAAACAAATGAATAACTTACAGGTTGGACAGGTGATCTTCCACCTCCTCTTTCGAAGCAAAGCTGCCTCCTTCAATACGGCAAAAGAGAAACAAGGTGACCAAAAGAACAAAAATTTAGGGCAAAATGAACCTCAGCTATCAACAGCGTTTGCCACAGAGGGTGGCGCCGGCTGCTGAGCCTGAGACTGCGGTGCTTGGGCCTCAGCTTGCGCCTGTGCCAGCTTTTGCTGCTCAAGAAACCTGCTCATCCGCTCAAGCAATTGAGCAGCCTTCCGCTTGCCCCTATCTGTACCGTTTTGTGCCAAGTCAACCAAAGGACCCATCACGCCTAGTTCTTGGGCCTCTGCTAAATGTTGTTGGTCTCCCGCACAAAGGTGCACCAAAACTGCAGCTGCATTCTCTCTGTTTCTTGGGGACCCATTTCCAATAACATCTACCAAAACTGGCACTGCCTCTTGCTGCTCCAATGGCTGCCTTCCCTTCAGGATGGCTAGCAAGTATTGCTAGTATGGCGAGAGCCTCATCAACCATTCCACCTCCAGGTTCTGTCAACAAACGCATTAGCGTGGGCACAACTCCAGCCCTCACTGCTTTTCCTTTGTTCCCTTGGTAAATGCACAAGTTAAAGAGTGCTGTCGCTGCATCCTTTTTGCCCCTTTGTGTACCTTCACTTAGCAGCGTCACTAGTGGAGGGATTGCTCCTGAGGCGCCAATTGTCACCTTATTTTCATCCACTACTGAAAGGCTAAATAGGGTGGCTGCTGCATTCTCTCTAGCTTCCATGCTCCCCTTCTTAAGCACCTGGACAATACCAGGAACAGCTCCAGAGGATATGATACTCCCTTTGTTTTCTTCACAAATGGAAAGGTTAAGAAGTGCTGTTACAGCATGTTCTTGGGTGCGTGAGTCAGGTGTTGAAAGGAGGCTCACAAGGAAAGGTATGGCCCCAGCTTCAGCAATGGCCACACGATTATCTGCATTGCGTTTGGCAAGAAGACGGATTTCACCTGCAGCCATTCTTTGGTCTTCAGGATTGCTGGATGTGAGCTTACGGAGGAGAATATCAATCTTGGTACGTTCAGCAGGTGAGCAGGTGGATGTTGTTTTACTGGGTCGAGAACTACTGGGTCTTTTGGGTGGTTCAATGCCATTTGCCTCACACCATTGAGCTATTAGACTACGTAACACATAATTGGGCGTAAGGGCAGGGCTACTGAGTGTCTGCTGTGTCTTCGGACATGTTCCATGCCCTTGCTGAAGCCATTTCTCAATGCAAGATCGTTCATATGTCTAGCAGAAGAGAATAATAAAACCTGTTAAAAATATAGCATCAAGGTAATTGTAAACAAGTCTTCAGCCTCTACAAACATGTGCAGTCCAAAATCAGTATCGTAAAACTTCATTAAGTTGGCATCCATTTTCTACAGCCACCCCAAGTTTAATTAGAATCATCATATGACTAGGCCCATTTTGAGAACTAACTTTTGGCCAGATAAACTAATGGCAGCCAATGACAATGTAATGTGATGCAACAGGCTAAGTCAATAATAAAACAAATTTACCAAGCACATTACTTACATTTAAGCAAGTAAAGGAGGCAGGAGGTTGTTTTCAAGACTGAAAATGATTTAAAAGAATTAAAAGAAAAGAAAAACTGGGTTCATAATGAGCAGAAAATACACGACAAATATACCTGCCCTGTTGAAACAATGACAGGATCCTTCATCAACTCCAGGGAAATTGGACAGCGGAAATCTTCTGGTATAACTGGACTCTTGTGATTTCCATCACTGGTTGTTTGTCCACAGCTACTAGGAAGAAGATTCTTTTCTCTTGTGGGAGCATCCAAGTTAGGATTTTCTGTTTGTACAAAATCCTTGATTTTCTTTAATAAGTTTGACATCTTCTCAAATGTTTCCCCAGGATCTCCACCACTGGCTGAAACCATCTCATGTAGCGCTAGTGATTCTTGTGTAAGTTCAGTTATTCCCACCAATTGTAACTTCTCAGTCAATCTCCTCAGTACATCTGGATCTGCTGCTGCATCATTGGTCGTGTTGTAGAGTGATAATAGATCCTCATACAGCTCAACATCAGGTGCATCAACCCTTCCTTTAGCTCTCCTGAACTGAGCTAGAACAAGCTCAACCTAGATATAGAAATATAACACATGTAAGCCTTTTTTTCTCAGCAAAAAGAATATGAAATGAGATAATGAATTAGCCTGAGGTTGCTCAGGGACTCTCAAACTCTGGTTGAATTGTGTTAAGAGAGGAATAGACGTAGTTTTGGTTGCTCTCTTTCAGTCTTACTGTGCTTATTTCTATCCACATCATCTTTAATTTCTCAAATCATATGCAACTCCAGAAGAACTAAAATAATCACAATTACTGTGATTGCTTGAGGGCATTTTGTTTCCATGTCTAAGATGACTGTGATTCAAGTAATCATCTTTAGGTCTACACAGCAAAAGACCTAATATGACATAGCACGATGAGAAAGAAATGTGAACAGCATAATTCTTCCAAACACATGTCTGGTGATAGATCTATACCTGTTCCTTAACTTCATCTGATATGTCAAGATTCTCATAGGAGATTGCATTCAAAGCTTGCTCCAATTGAGCTGTCAATTCATGAAATTTATGCATAATCTCCTCCCTCTGGAGAACCTGTAAACAGAACAAATATAGTTTATAAGTCAATGGTCAAATGCCACAAACCCGTTCATCAACATATTAGTGGTTTGGGCTAAATTTTGTCGCTTTAAGCAGAACTTTTTTTAAAAAAATTCTTTTAGCAATAAATAAATCTTGCAAAAATTAATAATATACCACAATATTGATTAAAAACTGGATCACGGAAACACATTCTCTGGTGGCTACATACTCGGGACTTCTCTCCCTAGTTATAGAGTAACCAAATATTAGAATATATAGAAAAAATAAATAAACATGTTACTGGTCATTTTAAAAGATTGAAATTCTGAGACCATAATTTTCTTGCTAGACATGAGCGTCAATCTTAGCCACAACTGAAAGTAGGGTAATAGCACTCCAGATTGGATGAGCAAAGAGAAACTATTGCATTCCGTATGCTTAAATAAAGATTGAAAGGGAGACGAAAGCAGTAGTTAGACATAAATTGAATTGCTCTAGCATGGTGGCATGGGACATGAGCAAAATATAAGAGTGAAATTTCATCCTCAGAACTTTATATCTAGTTATGCCAGTACTTTTCAACAGAAAATGGGTGCACGTAGATCACTTTCAGAGTCTGGCATAACAAAGTGCATGAAACTTTGGCTTCACAACCAATAAAAGAAAAGCATACCCACTCCCTGCCTCAGTAAAGTATTTATACCATGATTCAAGCACATTAATGGCCTGCAGCCACTTCCAATTCCCCTCTTTACTGCCAATCTCAAAGTAGTGGTGCTGAGGAGAAATGTTATGGTGAACTTGTTTGTCAACCTCGACAGTAAAACACCAAAATCTATGTCTATGACAAACCAACACGAAGGTTGACACAGAAATGCACAGGAAGCAAAACCAACCCCAAATGTAAAAGGCCATATATTGGGGATTCCAAGCAAAACAGATCTCTCTCTCCCTCCGGTTGTAAGAATGGATAACATATACTGAGCCATAAATTGATGATTCCAAGAAAAACCACAGCAAAATCAATGAATGTTACAACCCAATTGAGTACAGCTGCTGTTGCAGAAACGCTCAGAAAAATAGCATCAAGGCCAGAAACTTAGGACTTAGGAGCCATATATTGGGGATAAGTAAACCACCTCCTCCTCTCCCCCTTACCATCTCTCTCCTTCCTCTTACCAGTCCTCCATCTCTCCCTCTCATTATTCAGTTTCTTCCCCGAAACCAGTAAAACCTTCAAGAACCTCCTGGATCAAAGACCAGAAACAGACCAACCAGAACTATACAAAATCAGAATGGAAGAGTCAATTTCGTCCAGTGGTGACACATTCTCCTTAGTTGTCACAGGTTTTCAAATATACCATGTTGACAACAGATAGCCGCAAATTATAATTCCTATGATGACACAGGTTAGATTCTAAACCGTATATTACAAGCGCGCAGAGTTAAGCATATAAAATATAACAAGAGACAAGGTAATCCCTAGTTTGATATAGCATGGTATCAAGAGGGGATAGAGAAGGTTATATTAAATGAATGATTCAGATTTCACAACAATCCACACATAAAGGGACAATCGTAAATTCAATTAACAACGTTATATAATTTCTTAGGGGAAAAAATCTATCGCAGGAGTAGAGATTCTACTTCAGCCTTGCATATATCGATGACTATGACACTTGAAAATCTGACAAGAGTTTCTCGTAATAATTATTAGATGATACAAAAAAATTGTAAAAAGAACAAGAAAGAAGGATGAATTGTGGCTAATATATCTACTTATTAGGTGTCGTGTGGTTTTTTTTTCCTAGTAATAATTAAAAGGAAAAAGAAAGAACCAAATCAATTTTAATTTTAAATTTATAAGAAAATGCAGCAGCAAATATTCACATTAGAATTTTGTACTCCATTCTTAGACTAAGCTAAATTTTAGCGTAATATTTACCAATAGATTTTAGATAATGTTATTGCAAGCAATAATCTGACTGTTTCCACGCACTTCACAAGCTAATTTTTCTCCACTTTCTCAGCAGCCAAACAGATCCAAGAAAGAAAAGGAAAAAAATTTCAAATTACATTACTCACACACCAGGTAAATCTTGCTGCCTTCACTGCCAAATCTGAGCAACTCCTTAGCCGAAACCAAAGCTTCTTTCAACGAGACCAAAGCTTTAACAGTTTCTTCAGGGATTTGCTCTTTGCTTTCTCTAATCTCCTCGAACATTGGCGTCAACAGCTTCAATCTCCTAGCGAGATTGCAATACTGCTTCTTCACAGGGCATCTGTAATCGCCGATCGAAGCTATTTGGTTCACCTCATCGATCAAGCTCTGCACCAGCGCTCCTTTCTCTTCCTCCATTCTGAATCCAGATCTCGTTAAACGCAGAGTTTTTTCAAACTTGAAGGTTTTGATTGGGACGGAGATTAAGCTAAAGTTTTTGAAAGCTAGGAGGAAAAACTCGTCTCCATTAGAGAGAAGACTTTGACACAGAGCGAGAGACTGAGAAAGTTAATGAGCGAGAGGGAAAAGTTTATTAACATGCTGCTTTAGACCTTTTTCTTCCCCGGCTCGGCTTAGTTAGCTGAACCGGACCGGGTTAAAAGAGGAGACTGGAGATAGATTAGATAGACTCGGATGGTTGCTCCCTGGTCTACCGTCTACGAATCTCTCCTCGTCCCTAGTTCGGCTCGGCTCGGCTCGGCTAGGGTTCGTTGATTTTCAGTTAAACTAACCTCGTCTCGCATTCAGTGCAATGCAGTTTTTTTCAGACAAATTTGAAATTTTTCCACGTCTACATTTGAGCATAAAATTCGATTTATGGTAATCCTTTTTAATTTACTTGCACTAAAATTTAAGGCCGGGCCGCCGGGCCCATATCGGATGTTGTTCTTGTTCTCTAACATGCGCTTCTTTAATTGGAACGGTTCAAATTTGTACTTGTGTACGGTAATGTGCTAATTCATTTTCGAAAACGATTTAATTAATGTTTTTATACATCATGTCTTCCAAATTCTTAAATTAAAATAGGATTAATTATTTTAAGATAAATTAAAGCATTAAGATTTATTACCAAATTAGTAATTTTAAAAAAATTAATGTAACTATATTGACCGTGCCAAGTTTCCTCGTGTCCAAACTTTTGTGGGCGATAGTGGACAAAAAAGGTAGTTGACTTACTTTCAAACCAAAAACATTACAATAAAGAAATAAAAGAGATACAGTTAAATTAATGTAAGTAATCCTATTTGGACATGTTCAAAAGTTTGTTCTTTTTAACTTTTGCTTTTGCTTCTGTTTTTTTCTTCTCGTGAGAATAGGTAACAATTTTTTAAAAGTATGTAAACAATTCATTACAACAACTCTAAATATGTTGATATAAAATTTTAAAAAGATATTAAATTATTTTAAAAAATTTAATTAAAAATTTAATTCTTTTTACATTCAATCAATATTTTTATTTTTAAATAAATAAATTATTATAATTTATAATTAATTAATTATCATTAATCATATTCACATGATATTTATGTGATGAAAATGTTATATAACTATATTACATTAATATATTAGGTTACTGTCTATTATAATATCTAATATATCATATCAACATCACATAATATATTATAATAAATAAATATTTTAATTAATTATAAAAAATTATTTAATTAAAAAATAAATATTTAATTAAATATAATTAAAATATAAATTTTATGAAATAAATTTTTTTAAATATTACGTCTAAATATTCTAATCTCTTTATTCTTTTCAATAAATGGATTGCTGAGATTGAAATTTTGCACAAAAAAACTAAAAAACAGAAAGAGAGGAAATGACCGGCAACCTAATTACAATTCCGTCTTTTGGGAAGCAAGAACCAATTATGCAACATAATAGCGGCGGTCAAAGCGAAAAATAAAGAAACCATTATCAAAAACAAAATGTTAACAATGAGCTTGCAAAAAGGCAGAGCTGCTAATAAAAAAAATCCAATCATGGCAGAAAGGGGGTGCTTCAAGGATCGAGGAAAATGGGGAGAGCACCGCATTATCTGGGGTTTGGACAGTGCCAGACGATTACGCGTAGAAATAGACTGCCTGGATTCGACAGTTATGCTTTGTCTGGAAATGGGACTTTGGTCGCGATGGGTGTATGTATGTCCGTGTAACTTGCTCACCAATTTTGTCAAGTTGCCTTTATCCTTTCATATCCTATTAATCATGGCTTTTGTGAACACTTTAATGCGAAGGATTGGCTAATAGGATAAGAACAAAGCTAACTTTTATTTCAACATTTCATGAGAGGATATGCATTTCTGAATGTGTGAATTGCTATAAATTCATATAATTTTTAAATTCAATATCAAATTTGATTGACATGTTGCTTAACTTAGCTAGATATTTTAGTTAGAGGCTTTCCATATATTTGTCAAAAAAGGAATATTGCTTTGTTGGAGTATACAGGTATAAGAGATTGCTAATTGGCTATATATTTGTTGATTAAGCTTGTAAATGTTGCTATTATGAATATTGTATACATTATTTAAGTCACCGTAAATCAATTTATAAATTTATAATAATAAAATATTTAAATATTTAATTTAATGATAAATATACGTATTTATTTATTTAAAATTTTAATTCTCTCCATCATTTTATCATAACACACTTTAATATGTAACAAATTCAAAGATCCAAGTTTTAAAAGATAATAAATTCAACATGTTATTCTTGGTTGTACTAAAACTTAATAATCAAATTTTGATTTAATTAAGGAGCAAAATCATTTGGGAATCAGACGTTGAATGCACATGACCTCTTTACTTTCTACATAGACTGCTCAACAACTGGAGCTTTTACACATCCAGCCATGAAGCAGTACAACAACATAAAGAGCTCATTAGTGGCACAATTCCTCAATAATCAATCATTGAATCCCGATGAACGATTAATCTTTCTTCATTTAAGTTTTTCGGTCATTGATTTTCATTAATTAAAGCAGGTCCAAACTACTTCACCTTGGCATGGGCACGGGAAGTGGGGAAAACCTTTCGGCACAAAATCTTAACAGGTTGACAAAAAGAATGATTAAGGTGCAATATTCTTCATTAAGCAATGCTAATCTTCCACGTGTGCCGTTCCAATCGATCACAGCTAAGCAACCGGCCAAACCAGCCATTTAACAGGCCGGACGTGGGACCGAAGTCCCTTGATTAACGAACCTACTTAAAGGTTGATTAAGTGGCAAAATTGAAAATTAAGGCTTGACCTTAATGGTTTTTACACTGACGTGTCGGAGTTTGTTAAATATTAATTAATATTAAACTAAAAATTAGTATTGTTACTTTCGAATTATTGAAACAGTTAGCTAGTATTTTTTAACTCTTCTAGCACTCTCTTCACAATTTCCCCCCTATGATCAGGCCCTTACACGTGGCGATCCCCTGGCCGGTGGATAAGTATCAAGTCTGGCCTATCAGAGTAAGGGATGCACGTGGCCCACCTGTGGCGGGCGGGTGGTGGTGGGTTTTAGGAAGATAGACCGTCACTTCGTTCTTAGATGATAGCGATTCCTGTCTTCGTTCTACTGGACATCTATTCGGCTCAGCTCAGTCTGGCTCTAAAAATCTAGCCGCTCTGTCCAGTTACAGGTTACGGGCCATTAAAAATTTAGAAAAAAGTCCATGGGCCTTTTTAGTGGGGTCCTTCGTTTTGTGGGTCCCAACAGGGAAACGAAAACCACGGCACATGGTCTATGTGGAGGCAATGATGGTTGTGTCTAATCCAACGTGGCACGATCCGGTCTTCGAATTGGTTAACGAATCAGAGCCGTCCATTTGGGATCCCGTGATCCGGTGTATCCTACGAGAAATTTTACTGAAACCATTTTTTTTCTAACTCAATTATCCACCGTCGGTTCAAGCGAGGGTCACACCGGAATGTGGGGCCCTGGACAGTGACGGAGTTGCACGTGACCCGCCGCAAGGACAGCTCAGATACTTCTCCTCTCCCGAACGAGCTTTTTTGGTCCGCAACGGACTTTTCCTTAATCTGTGAGAAACCACTACGTCACCTGCGGGTGATTGGGCCAACACTGTAGTACACGTGAACTTGTGTCTATCCTCTTTGCCTGCTTTTTTCTTTTTATTTAACGTTGGGTTTTTTTTTTGGTTTTGTTGGTGGTTGAATTTCTTTGTCATATAATTTAAGGCCCATTCGGCCCGACATTGTTGAAATTTCGTCCAATTGTTTGCTACAGCCTTTTTATAATTCTGCATGACGTGAATAATTATAATATGAAATGAGAAACACAAAGTTTTGATGTTTTCTTTGTTTTTTAGCAGGAAGTCGTGCAACGCAACTGTGTTGAAAGGGATGATGGGCAGCCATCAAGCAAGAAAGCAAACTGGGGACATTAAGAAAAATGGACCCACAGTTGAAACAATAATAATTCAGGAATTCATTGTTTTTTATAGAATTTTTCAAGTACCAGAGATTTGTCTGTAAACGTTGAATTGAACCCGTGTCATGGAAGAATGAAAAATTTTATGGTCCGCTCAGACCTGCTAATAGATTTGAATAGATTTTAATATGAAGGGTAGCATAATAACTTTGCTATCAAATAATATCATTTTAAAAGCAAAGAATTTGAAGTTGAATCTTCTAAGTTTCCTCCAATTAGATGTAACTATCCTTAGGCAATCAATCACCCAATAATTCAAGTTGGAGTCAAGAGCTTCCTGTTTGTATTATTGAAATGCATCGTGTATAGTGTAGATGATAATAGGGTGATAGCGTCAACGATTTGAACGTTAGTTCTTAAAGCAACCAAAGGAAAATAGTAAACTGATTTGAGGGTTTGAGGGCAATGTTAGGCTCGTCAAATTACTTTGCGGTTCAAATTGCATGCCTTGTTGACTTACACCACTTTGTTAAGATATGGGACGATGTAGGGGGTACTGTTTTCAAAACACTTTTTCAATAGCCACCACTCAGCATGACAAAGAGGGCTTCATCTTTTGGGCTGGATAGTGCAGCTTGATTCCTAGTCTAGACCCACTTTTTGGATTGTGTTTATTGTTCACTTATTTGCAATAGTGGGCTGACAATTTCGTATTGAAGTGGGCTCCTAGTTTTGATTATAGGCAGGCGGCCATGGAAACTGTGGGTGAAGCCTGAAGAACCCACCCACCCCCCCGGCAAAACGGGAAGTATTGAAGTAATGAAAATGATGGTGTCAGTATTTGTTTTCTTTAAACTGAATTTTGGGACTTCGGACTTTGGTTCCTAAAAGCTTTTTGAATGACTGAATTTGGTTTCAAGAGATGGGGCTGCCGCAGTTACATGTCAGAGGAGGTGATAGGTTGGCCAACATTGATTGGTCGCTGTACAATTTCCTGTTTCTCCGTTTTGATCACTCAGTCCGCTCTCTTTCTGGTTCCTCTCTTCTTCGCAGCCGCCCCAATCCTCATTCAGCTCACAATCTCAGGTCATCTTATTTAACTTAACACATATTTGAAACTGTTCATGCTTTTGTTTTCTGTAGTTTTAACAAATCTCTCTCTTTATCTGCAGCTTTAGTTTTGCTGGCAGTCGTGGGATTTGGGGGTTGGTGTAGGCGTCTTCATGGATTCCATGCATCAGCTCCAGCTTTTGTTTTCTTCAATATATTTTTTTTCTGGGGTGTTTATATTGCTATTATTCGACAAGGTAACCTTCACTACCATTAATTTTTCTTATTTTAATCACTCCCATTTTGGGGAAATGACAATTTTATTAGCATAACTATAATCCGAATTGTTTGGCATCTGTGTTTCTTTGTTTGTTTGGATAAAGTTTAATCTCACTGAGATAATGGTGTGCTATTATTAGTTAACAAGATAGTAGCCAGTCCATTTTCAATAATTTGAATGTGAAAATGGGGAAATCGTTTTGTCATATGAAGACAAGCAATTAACTTCTTTGAGCTTCTTCAGCAATTAGCTTGTTTTACAACAGGCCATTCTTTGTCTTATTTGCAGCAATTTCACGTTTTGTGGACATTGTGTTCAATATAGAGATGATCATGCTCATCATTGGTCTATTTAGGTTGTTTTTCTTTGCTCTTTCTGTCTTTTGCAACACCTATAATTTGCTAGGTCACAGTGAAAGGTTGTTCTGCTATATTGTTGATCATTGATCAATCATGCTAATTATGTGGTCTTTAATGGCAGGATAATGGTAAAGGATCCTGGTTTTGTGGCACAGGAGTCTGTTTGTTTGGACGTACTTGATGAAAGTTCTGTTCTTGGTGTTCAAACTCACAATGAGGTTGTTTAGTTACATTTTTGGTTGTTCATGTAAGCCTTCAAATAGACAAAACATGGTAACACGTGCATTTCTGCAAAAAGCTAGAAGTAACTGGGTTAGGGGTCTCTATTTTTCACCTGTTTCAAGATGTATTTACCTATTAAAAAATTGAAGTTCAGTCTGTTTTGAAATATGCATATTCTTCCTCCTTTGATTCTATCTGTGACTTTCAAAATGCAAAATTTTCCATATCAACCTTTTTCAAGTCTCTAATGAGTTTCATCACATGTTTCCTCAATTTTATCAGTCTTACTGGTGTTTTCTTTCTCAGAGCTTTCTTTTGCAAATGAGAGTAAGATACTGTAAGAGCTGCAAGACATATGTACAGGCGTTTGACCACCACTGCCCTGCTTTTGGGAACTGTATCGGTAATGAAAATCAATTTACATTTGGGAATGTTTTTATTTGTCCTTTGATTTGTTGCTACCATCTTAATCATTCTTCCCTTTAAATTATTATCATCTGAAGTAAATATTATCATCCTAGGTGGTTGATGATGTTTTTATGTCATTATGCAGGTCAGAAGAATTATGTCCTCTTCATGGTTCTTCTTGTTGGATTTATTACTACTGAAACGTTTTACGCTGTTTGCTCATCCCAGTGTAAGTATAAGCTTGATGATACCGGAATTGTTAATCTATTAGATGTTAATTTACAAGAAAACCCTGTGGTACATTTGGATGTTTAACTTATGTTGCAATTATTTGATGATCTGATGCTTTACCTTGACCTTCGAGACTAAATCTTGCTGGGTCTTCCAATGCTTTGTGAACTATTGGAATTTTTTTGCCCTCTTTTTCTATAATTATTTAATTGCTTAAGCCCTTGTTTATTTGCAGTCACCACAAAATTTCCAGTTTTGGAAGGAAATAAATTGGGGGTAAGTCATTGCTGCAATGGTTTTATTTAATATTTTTATTTATGTTATCAGTGCTTATATATTAATTGTTTCTCCCTTTTTCTGGGTGTTCTTGGTATAGACTAATCCCATCTTGGTGATTGCAAGAAGCACATTGCTATTTTCTCTTCTCCAAGTGCCATGGCAGGTTTCTATTGGTTTTTGGCTTTGAAGAATGTGCTTGTTTCTTAATCTTTTAGGTACCCAGTGATGTTTATTTCCTTGATAAAACATCTTTCATCATATTTTTGTATCAATACAGGGGCTGTTTCTGATCTGGCATGTCTATTGCATATGTTTCAATATCAGAACTGAAGAGTGGGTAAGTTCCTATGTAGACCATGGATAAAAGAAAAAATTGGATATATTTTCAAATGCACGGTATCTGAAACCATTTGTTTATTCTGCAGTATGGATAATAAGAAGCAACATACTGTTGTTATTTTCATTTTAATTTTTGACTTATCCAGGTAAACTGGAAGAAGTATCCAGAGTTCCAACTTAATGCTTCATCCTTACCAGGTGACGCATTCTATAGCACAATTCTTTTTTCTGAAATTCCATAATTTGTAATGTTCTATTCCTTATTCTAATTTTTGTTCAATTGGTTGTACCCAGGAGAGAATTATCATGAGTTTACAAATCCGTATGATAAAGGAATCCTACAAAATGTCAAGGAGTTTTTAACATCTAAATGATAGAAGTGTTACTGCCCATCTTTCTCCAGGACCTTCCTAGCTGGTTGTCCCTTCCATGCTTAGTAGCTGCTTTGTCTTTGGGGACAGTCCTTGCATGCATGTAGAACATTTCGGTATTTAGTTTGACAGCAAGTGCCTTCAAGAGGTCGATTAGGGGTCATTGATGCTTGAATATGTGCTTGGATATCTATCCAACTGAAGGACCTAGCTTGGTCGATGTTAGAATACAAAACTGAAGCATTCTCCTTTAAATATCAAATTTTGGCTCATATAGATTTACCACCTATGTGCATATTTTTTTTTTTCATTGAACAGTTACCTGAAACAAATATATTGACAACTTTCTGTAACTAACCTTCACTCAAACTGGGAATGAAAGTAAACATCATTCCTTTAATTCTAGGTGAGCTATCGCCACAACTTGTAAGTGTGGTTTGTCTCTCAATCTCTTCCCTTTTTTCTTTTCTTGAGAGAGAAATACCACAACTTAATGATAAATAACAGATATTCTGTATGCACACTGCAGAACATAACCCAAGTTAAGTTTGAGTAAGCTGTAGTAATTATTGGTAACATTGATAGGCTGTCTTTTCTTTCCAGAAATGTAAAATGATGACCCAGTTGGGTGGAAACCTGACAGTTGGATGATAAAATGGAAAGCAAGTAACACTTAATCTTTATTGGATTTAATTACAAGGATCTTAAATCCAGCAGGCCATGACAACACAGAGACAAAACAGAACAAAACCACACGTTTTTCCCTTCATGGTACTTTTTTTTGGCTCAAAAACAATTTTTAGCCAGAAATCTCAATGGGCTTGACTTCAGGTTTCTTCTCCTCCTCCTTGGCAACAGTTACAGTAAGTACACCATTTTCCATGCTAGCCTTAACCTGATCCATCTTTGCATTTTCAGGCAACCTGAACCTCCTCAGGAACTTGCCACTGCTCCTCTCGACGCGGTGCCACTTGTCATTCTTCTCTTCTTTTTCTTTGCTCCTCTCCCCACTTATCTGGAGGATCCTACCTTCCTCAACCTGAACTTTCACCTCTTCTTTCTTCAGTCCCGGGAGGTCAGCTTGAAAGATATGCACTTCCGGGGTCTCTTTCCAGTCGACCCTTGCATTGGCAAAAGCTGAGGCTTCACGTCCTGAAAAGGGCACGTTGGCAAGCATTGAGCTGAAGAATCCATCGAAAGGATCCCATATGTCCAGTGAAAATGGATCAAAGACATCGGTTCGTATGCCTCCGAGTATACTGGGAATGAGTGACATGTTTGGAAACTTTGAAGCTGATGGAAATCTTCAGTACTAAATGGCTTTGCTTTGTTCTCTTCTTCGATGGGTGAGAAGTTGAATGAGCAAGCTATATATAGAAATGAGAAGAGGGTTCTGGTTTCCTTGTTTCCTTTGCAAAAGAGGTAAGGAGTAGAAGCTTCTGGTACTTTCTCTAATTATTAAATAGATAAATAGATAGAACGTGATTGGAAGCTGATCCTCTTTTCTACAAACTTCTACCATCTTCAGATATATCAGTATCTATCCTTTTCAATGCATTCAACTTTCAAAGCCCTCCACTTTCTCCTGGTCCCTACCCACGATTAGAAGGAAACTTTTGATTTATCTTTAATTGTTTGTATTGACGTGAGCAGAGAGGATATTACAATCATTACAGCTTTGGTTAACTTCTTTATCTATAAAATTTGGAAGTCAAGAAGATTATTAGTAGCAGCAAGTGTCCATTGGAGAAAAATGACAATTAAAGCAAAGATGTTTCTTGGTTTTTATATGTTAGTATAATCTGAGTGAACAGGTCAATCAAAGTCCATTGGAACTGCCAAAGCAAGCAAGCAACTTCCAAAGAGAAACCTAATATCTTTTACTGTTTGTTCAAAGTGATCAGATCAACCAAAGTCCACTTAAACATTCCTGTCTCGAAGTTTGTTCATTCATCATTAAACTGATCAGATATATCTCACTTCTCTGCAAAAATCTTGATCATGAGCACACCTTTAAGGCGGCAATTTTTTGGTACAGGACTGGTCATGAACACCAGCTATGAGTATATCAATCTTTTATCTCAAATTCTTGCTTGATTCACTTCATTTTCTTTAAAAAGGAAACATTCCCCGCTTTGACCATGTTCTCTAGCCATTCAGGTGGAAGTTATCATTTTTGTTTCTTATAACAGCATTGCTGTTCAATTAAGTAGATGTTTGGTTCTTTGCTAAAATGTTGAATGGAGAATATAATGTATTACAGTAAACTACTGAATAGGGAGATGATAGTTGTTCTTGCAATGGCGGTCCACTGCACTTGGCAATCCATGAGACAGAAATGACAGACAGAATTTTTAGATTGAACCAGCTCTCTGGCTATAGAAACACCAAGCCAAGAAAGTATTGATTAAAGAGTACTTCTCTGCTGTCTCTTCCCTGCAGTCAGGGAATCAAATAATCTTTGGATTTTGGTTGATAAAAACCATTACTCCTGCAAAATTAGGCTCTATAAACAAATAGAAATACTTACACAAAAGCTATAACATCATAAAAAAACTGGTTTGATCAGATTGAAGCAAGTACAAATTTATTCTAAACCTTGTCACACACTTTTACATCATTTTAATTAAAAAAAGCATAAGTAAGAAGTACAATGGAAAGACCTAACACTCAAACAAACACTAACAGCATTTGCTTATTGTTTTCATGATTGAGTTCTATGAAACTTTAAGATGTTTTCACCATATTTTTAGCCAGAAATCTCAATGGCCTTAACCTCAGGTTTCTTCTCCTCCTCCTTAGGGACGGTGACAGTAAGCACACCATCTTCCATGCTAGCCTTTATCAGATCCATCTTTGCATTCTCAGGCAACCTGAACTTCCTCAGGAACTTCCCGCTGCTCCTCTCGACGCGATGCCACTTGTCATTCTTCTCTTCTTGCTCTGTGCTCCTCTCCCCACTTATCTGAAGAACCCTCCCTTCTTCTACTTCAACTTTCACCTCCTCTTTCTTCAGCCCTGGAAGGTCAGCTTTGAAAACGTGAGCTTCCGGTGTCTCCTTCCAATCAATCCTTTCGTTAGCAAAGGCTGAAGTTTCACGTGCCAAAGAAGGCACGTTGTTAGCCAATGCAGAGTTGAAGAAGCCATCAAAAGGATCCCATACATCTAGAGAAAATGGATCGAAGACATTGGTTCTTCGGCCACCAAAAAGGCTAGGAACGAGTGACATCCCTGCAAATTAAACTATGAACAAAGGATACAAAGTTAGCTTAAAGAAAGACTTGAAGCTCCAAATATATTTTCCACGATGGGAATTTGGTTGTGATCAGAATGTTTTATATAGATGTGATTCAAGTAAAAGAGGCTTCTAGTTTTTGACATGTCCAAGTTAGTTTAGAAGTTGCAAGAGCTCTCTGGTAGCTTCGGGGCCTTTCTCCCGTTCTATTATTCATTCCTAACTTTACCAACATCCATAATAATTAAAATAAATGTTCTTTAATGAACATGGTTGGATATATATTCTTCTATGATAATCCACAAGCTTCTTTAGCAGTACTCAACCATATATATTTTCCAGCCCAGATTTTGATGAGGAAAATTGGGTACCACTGGGCCTATAGCTTCGACTTTGTGATCTTTACTATCTACATAGTTTCACTTTTATCAACTTTTCACCTACAAAAATGATCACATAATATTTTTTTTTATCTCATTTAATGTCTCATTCGGTATCTCTTTTATAATTTTATGTTATTTATTCAGGAAATTTTTTATATTAATGGTATTTTTATTATTAAATTATTTATTTTTAATTTTCAGGTTTAGAATAAGATATCGAACTAAGCAGCACGTAGGGTAGAATATTTTTACTATTCCTTAAAAATAAAAAAACTTTATGTACAAGATATAATTCTTCATTCTCCCTTCCTTTTTGGGTCCCTTCATGGTGGGTTCTCTGGTGGGCCAAAGTCCCAAAGACCTTGCAACGGCCCAATGGAACAAAATGGGCTGGGCCCAAATTGTTTCAGTTAGAATGCTAGATCAGGATACTGGGCCTTAGCCCATTACACAGTTGTGAAATAAAAAAAAAACAAAAAAAAAAACGAAACTTCTTTAGAATCCCTCTCCCCTCTTTCTTTCCTTCTTTTTTTTTTAATATACCTTGATAAAAAAAAAAAAGAAATTATTCTTTTGAACAAAAACAGTAAGCCAAAAAATCTGACTTTTTCGATTAAAATAGCTTCAATCCAGAGTTTAGGTCCACCACGACGACTCGTGAATTATTCAAAAAATGCCAAAGCAAAAGAACAAAATCACGTCTACCTAAACTCAGTTTTACTTGTCAAAAGTTTCCATGAAATCTAACAAGTTAGCCAAACCTTGCTTAATTTCTTCATTCTAACCTCTACTTTCCCTCTAACAGTTACATACAACTCTGTTGTTCTTTGCATCTTATAGGAACTAATCCTATTAAGTCTAGCTTTTAGCTTCATCCCTGTGATGATGGAAGAACAAACGCGTCCTTTGGGCTTTCTAAGACAAAACCAAAAGCAATGCCTTTTGTTGCTGTCTCTTCAATGTAAAGCTGTTCCTAAAAAAAAAAAAGCCCAACAGCAGCGTCTATTCTGAAGGACTTGGCCGACAAATATTATATTATTGCGTATAATTAACTGAAATTTTAAATATAGCTTTTAGGTAAGCTTTTATAAGATTTAAATAATCTAAAATTATTGAAATATTACATATTAAACTCAGCCAAAGACGCTTAATCTTTCACGAAACATACTTCTCATCTATACGTTTCGGCTGACAAAACAACAACCATTAAACTCTTTTTACCTCTCAAATTTGGTATCCTCTTTGATGGCTACGTATAAGATCCCGTTGGTGTTGGAATGCTGCTTTGGGCCCATCCACTCTCGTACAAGCTATACATTCCAGAAAGCTACTTGACAAATTTTCTCTTTCTTTCTCCCATTGTTGGACTTAGTTTTCGAGTTCCTGGTTCTCCGGTAAAAGCAGCAACTTGACAGCCCTGATCATCATCTTTCTCTTTCATTTAATTAGCTTAGTATATTCTCAACCAATGAGATTGTGAACAATAAAGCAGGGTACGTGGAATCTGGCCCAAAGATTCCCATCAATCTTTGCAACTTGCTATGTAAGCGTGCAAATTGCAGCAACATTGGATCTTCGACTGCTTGCAGATCACGTCCCATACTCTTTTTATTCAAAATTCTATTAATTATGCCTGTTAAATTTTCCTAAGCTGATAACAATCAAAGCATAATCAATCTCTTTCGTTTGCTTGAAAAAACCATACATTCAGTTAATGGATCCAAAACCCCTGAATTATTTCATTTTAAGTTGAAAATAATCAATTTATTTTAACTTAAACAACGATATCATAAATATTACTTTTTTCATCGTAATCTCATTCATGATAAGTTATCATTTAATAGGTTCATTGCCTTTGTACATTAAGGGATGTATTACAATAATGATAAAGAAATTTCAAATCGATTAAGTTGAGAGTACCTTATGCATATAAATATAACAAGAGTTTTCACTTATTTAAATTGATTTCAAGTTCGATATCCATCTTAAAAATTCAACCAAGTCGGAAAGAATCAAGAAATGGAAGTCAAAGTGGGAGGGAGTTAGTTGTTACAAACTCTACACAGGAAATGAAAAAGAGCTTGCTGAAGCAAAACCTCTGCTGATGGTAAGAATTGCTTTCCAATTGATTATCCCTCGTCATCAGAAAAACAACAGGAGGGTCGTAATAACACATGCCTGTAGCTTTCACGCATGATCTGGTAGGAAAAACAAGACAATCATGAAGCCTGGATAGCAAACAGATGTAGTCTTCCATTAAAATAACTAGTTTGACGCATCAACAAAATTTTGTTCTGATAATTAAGCAACCAATCATATTAATTAATTAGATATTACTTGTTTTATATATAGCAGACAGTCAATTTGCTGGTTGCAGAACCAAATTTCCTGCAATTGATGAGTTCAGACTTAGCTAATAACAAACTAACTACAGAATTTTAATTATGGGGTTCATAAGATCAGAAAAAGATGTTAATATGACGAGTTGTTAGCTAGGTTCAACCAGATATCTTATACTAATATGGAAAAACATTTTTAAATTAAACTATCTCAACTTATACTTGTTTGAATAGGTCAGAAATTCATTGGGCTAATTTCCCTCAAGCATGGATTTGCCTTTGCTTGAAGACCTACTTACATCAACCCGTTATATATATATACAGAGAAAACTCTAAAATTAACCAAGCATATCAACCGGTTACATCAGCCGCCGTTGGCAATTTGACATGTTTTCCTTCTCTGTTCTTTTCTATTACACTTGTTCCATACAACTGCCTGAAAATGTCTAAATTTAATCCTTAATCAAATTAGTTTTTACTCAAAGTTTAAGGTGAGAGGTCTCTTTGGCTAATATACTCACGAAATTACTAGTATTAGGTATTTTCTTTAATTTTACATATTTATATATTAGAGTCATTTTTAACTGTATTTTTGCCCTATTCTCCTGCAGGATGGTAGGCAAAACGTCGCCGTCCCCCTTTCCCCCTTTTCAAGTCAAACAAACACTTTCAAATATATACATAAACTCCAAAAAAAGAATCAAGAAAAATGTCAAGAAATCTAAGTTGTAACCGTAGGAACTTTCTCAAGGTTTTTTTTTAATTTTTTATAATTAAGGGAAAGAGAATTTGAATTTTGTTTTTTAAAAAGAAAAGTCATGTACCAATCAATAAATCAAATAATCGAATGTAAAGTTATTTTATTATTATTTTTGAATGAAAAGAAGTTTCTTTGTCTTCTTGTAGATTATATGAATTTTTTCACTTTATCTTAATGTATTTGTGTTCAATAATTTTTGAGTACTTCTTTATTCAAACGAGTATGACATTTACGTTATTAAAAACATGATGTAAACGTTTACCGTCTCTAATACCCTATTCCGAGTCCATAGATAACACATATAAACCTTCCATACCATGAATGGATCTGCATAAAAGAGGAGGAATAAAAAGAGCTATTTAAGGTAGAAGTAAGCAATCTTTGTGAGCCATTAGTTATGGGGGGGGTGCGTTCATTCCTGGAGATAAGCTGCATTAGCATATTCATATATTCCGTTGCTTCAGCGTTGACTGATAAATTATTGGGAATAGCCAAGGGCCATTTGCGGTTGATGTGGAGTCAAAGGAAATGCATGGTCCCAAAGATAAATAGCTTTGGATCCTCAGTTAGAGAGGCTTCTTACTTGGATATATATGTATATATCATGATCAGTGCATGATGGGATTCGAAGAAAATCAATGGAACCCACCCAATGGTGATAACATGACATCTTTTGGGTTCTTTCTCGCTAAGCTTTTTTGCCAAATTATTTCAATCTTAACAGGGAAAAAAGGTAATGGACAGTTGCATTTGGTTTTCCATGAATTTATTAAGTACTAAATATATTCAGATATTGTGAAGGAAAACCTGTAAAAAAATAGTTAAATAGGTAGAAAAACCCCATTAGATCTATCCTAACTACTACTCTTTTTCAACTTTTTGTTCACTTAAGCTATAATCAAGGGGAGAAATTGATACTGTTTGTTCATGAGTTGGCTTCATGATTATTGTCTTGAGCATTACATTTTTCCTTTTTTCCTCTTTGTAAAAAAAATAAAAGAATGGGTTTATAATCAAAATCACCATGATAATAGGAAAGTGATTGGCCGTCTTCTTCACATAAAAATCATGGAAAAACAAAAAACTATTGATCAATCCATCGACATTTCACTAGCCGAGAGAACGATTCATGATCTGCCCTTTATAATTTCTATCATGGTTTTTTGGGTTAGTGAGTACCATAATAGAGGGGCATCCCCCTAATTAGTGATGGATGCATGCTTTCATAATGATGTTGAGTGTTCTTAATTTTCCCAATTGATGGACCTTTGCCCCCCTCAACTAGCATGTGACTTAGTTGGCTAAGCCTTTGGTCCCCTCTAATGGCTAAATCCTTTCCCAATGCAATTTTGTTCATTAGGTACTATAGTAATTGCTTTATAAATTGCTAGCACCGACATTTTGTTCCCTTTATACTTGTAAAGATAGCTTGATTTACATTAAACGTACCTCCCCCCTACCCTGGATCCCATTCTTCCCACTTTCCAGGAAAGTTTAGGAATACTTGTTTAAATTGAAAGAGGCAAAAAAAGGCTAGCTTGAGATTTTAGTATTATTGAAGGATATATAGGGTTTCAATGCTATCATGTATAAATTAAGTTCAAAAATTATACAACGAGTTGGGAAGAGAATAAGGACCGCAGATAGAGCTACTTCACTTCAAAATTTTATAATAAATATTCGCAAAATA